TACTTGTTTTTTGGCCTGAGAGCTTTTGCATTTATAGTGGGAGAAAAATTCCTCTTACCTATCTGTTGACTTCTCCCCACAAATTCTTGATGCCTGTGGTATCAAATTCAAGGCCTTAATTTTCTTTTTGTTTTGGGTGCCAATCACCCATTTTCCTCCTTCATGCACTTCTCCCTTCCCCCTTTGAAGTTTTCCACTTTTGTGTGTTTGACCAGAGGGCTGTGTGTGAATTGCCAAAAAGTCTGTGTAGACTCAATTGAAATACAGCATTTGATCTTCCATCCACCTCAGCTTCTGGGCATGGGTCGCATGCTCCTGCAAATGTAGATAGCATGGAAGTGATGCTGCATTGAACATGAGATGCTCAGCTATTGTCTTTTCCAAGTACCTTGGAACCTTTTGAAAAAAAAATATGTTGGCAGATCCAGGCAGATCCCATGCCTTGGATATAAAAAATTGATTTTCCAGGTTTGGGTTTGGACAGGTATGCAATCCGACCCAAGACCTGATACTGCTATCCAGCCTTAATTTCTTTGTAAGAAGAGCTTTGGAAAATTGAAGCTCATATTTGGAATCAGGGTGCAAAGTTTACCCTGATCCCACCACTTGCCCGGCCATCCCTTGCTACATCCGACCAGGCTGGAAGGCGAGTTTGTGGCCGGGCATCGGGTCGCTGGGTAGGGGCAGGGAGGGAGAAGCGAAAGGTGGGATACCTTATGACGGAATCCTCAAAAAAAACAAAATCAAACAAGCTTTTTAATGCATAACAAGAACAAAAAAAATCAAAAAGTTCCAACATTCTTTGAAAAGACATACAAGCTGCTCTTCACCTCATTGTCTCATGATGAGTGTGCATCCTGTAATCTTATTTTGTTTCAAAAGATTGTCCAAAAGCCACATCTTTTGGAAGCTCACAAGCAGGAAAGCAGAGTCTAGCTCTCCGCCCAAGACAAACCGCGTGGTATTACGAAAGTGATTGTATGCGACACACGCGTGCAAATTCTGTTTATAATTTAAATCGATTTTTTCCCAAGCTGTACATACAAAATGAGTTTTTATTCAGCCGCTTCTTTTTTTTTCGGTCAACAGTCATTATGTAAACTCAGATCTTACTTAAGCCAAGTCAATCTGAATTCCCCCCTTTCAAGATTATGAACACAGCAATCCAGACACAGCCTTATCAGCACCACCACCACCACCACCACCACCACATAACCACAGGGAACGCCGAGCAGGAGGGGAACCCAACAAACAACACAGAAGAGCAGCAGCACAACAACAACAACAACGGCAGGACGACGAGGAACCAAGCCTGTCCCCGGGGATCGATGACGAGCGAGATAGTGGAGACGAACGACGAGCAGCTCAACGATTATTCGAGCGAGCACGCCCAGAGCATCTTCGGCACCTCTCCCGCCGGACAGGTCGGCCAGAGTAAGCCCCGGGCTATCGTCAGAATCGAACGCGATTATAGCGCCCGTGGGGCTACCTGTGGACGGGTCCAATTCTGGGACGGTTGGGTCAAAGAACTCGAAGGAAGAGTATGCGCTTTCCTCCTTGTTGATTCTCAATCGATCGCCAAGGCTGACATTCATTGCTTCTTCTTGCCTCTCCTCTAGATCAGCCCGCTTCAACTCCAAAACACCCTCAACGACTTCAACCTCATCCTCGCCTCAGCTTACGACCCCTATTCCTCCATCCTCGACAACACTCTCGCCGTCCTGTCTCTCTACATCTCTCCCTGGATACTCGGAACTCACCACAAACGAGTCCGTCTGCCTTCTCTTTTCTCTCTCTCTCTCTTTTCAACTAATCATTAACTTCCTTTACCTCCCTTCCTCCCCAAATTTAGCAAATGAATCTCTTCAAGGACACGCTCGAACAGTACAACAAATCCGTCTACAATCCCGTCGGTCTTAACATCCTACATCCCCAAAAAGTCGCCTTCTTATTCGTCAGTTTCTTTTCTCCCTTCACTTCCCCTGCCTTGCCTCTGAAAACTGACATTTCTCTCTTTTGTTTTTTGGACCCAAAGCTTGAAATCGAATATTATTGAAGCCCGTTAGGAGCTTATATGCATCAAATTGACAGCCTATAACGGATCCCACATAATCACACACAGCCCTCTACACACACTCACACAGATAAACATGAAGAAAAGCCAATGATTAGCGCCTGATAAAAGAATTCACCAAGACAAGAACACAGCGAATTACCGAAGTGAAGCTTCCTGCTCTTGCCCTCCATCCCCAAAGTGACCAAGCCGAACACGTGGCACGTTTTTCAGGCCGATTTTGTGTCCCGGGCCGGTCATCATCATCAACTTCTCCTCGGTCGTCTCTGACTTTTGGCCCGCCGCACCCTCTATTCGTCGTTTCTTTCTTAAGTACAGTTGTGACAGCACTCGTTATCTCTCTATATACCCTCCTTCATTCACCTCCTACCCTCCCCCCCTCCTTCGCTCTTTTTTTCTCGTTCTTTGTTTTTGCACATTTAGTATACTTTTCTCTTAATTGTTTTTCTTTCATTTTACTCTTCCTATCACTCTTGCTCCTCCTCCTTCTACTGCTACGGTCTTAATGTTTTTTTTATGTTGACTATCTTGTATCAACAAATTGATGTATATTCATGTATGTGATTATCTATCAACTTGTTTTAAGTTTTGGGTTGTGGGGTGGTGGCTGATTTTCTGCAACAGAATCAACACCCATATCCTATCAGCTGTCATGTCCCAGAAAAAAAGTTCTTTTTGTTGCATTCATACAGCATGTGTACCATCAGCAATGGGCTGCTAGATTTCACTATGCTAATCAACGGCCCACTAATGTTAGTGGCCCTCAATGCAGGACACCAACACTGTAGTGTTTGGTGGGCTGTTGGTCCCACTTTGCTGCATTATGCTTTGCTACAGCTCTTCTAGTGGTAAAAACAAAACAAAACTGCTAAGATGCACTGTAGCACAGTGTAGTGGGCCCTTTTTTGTGGCCTGCCCATGTAGTGTTAGTGCAGTTGTGGCAGAATTCCACTGTACATGTTAGCAGGATTCTGCTATGTTACACTGTGCTATCACTTTGGTTAGCATAACTGACCCATCATTGGTACCATGCTATGCTAGGGAGTGAGAGAGCTGGGGGTGGGGGGGGCATGAAAAATTTGGATGAGATGAACTTTTTGGCATAATGCCAGTGTGTGATAGGTTTTTTTACTAATGTTAATCAACACTTCTTGTAGATATAGTTCAATGTAAATAAGTCCATCACTGATCATTGAAAGCCCTGAGATTACATATCCATGCATCACACACACACACAGATTGATTAGATCATGTTGTTGCTTTTTTTCAGAAGAAGAGGATATTTGTGATCAAATTCAAGTGAAGACCTCGATGCTGTTGAGTCCACAAACTCAAATAGAGACAATTAGTGTAGAGGAGGAAGTTGGGGTTGGTGACCTCACAAAGAATGTAATCAACATCAATTCACATCTGCAACATCCAAAATCGCAGCACAACAAAACTCTTCCCCCCCCCCACACACACACACATGTTATAGCAGATCACCATGACAACGTGGAGGAAAAAGAGTTCCATTCTGATCAACAACTGTGGTCAAAATTGAAATGGAGTAGGCCCACTCTTCACTGATATGGCTTTCCTTTTGATAGCTTTCAGAGATGAACTAAGTCCATTTTAGCTGTGTATCCATTCAATTATCCACAGTTCCAGCAGCTTAGAAAGCTTATGTATGCATCTCCACCATCTGACAAGATGGACTGTGTACTATCATGTGTGTGCCACAACATAATCTCTAAGGGCCTGTACCATATGGCATGAAAATTCAATTTTTCATAATTTTTCAGAATTCATATTCCTCAAACTCTCATATACTCAAAAGTGACCATGACCACAGGCCATTTATAAGCTCAAATATGAAGAATTTCCACACCAGGTATCTTCAATTATTTTGGATTTTTGTTCAGGAGACAGATGTGGCACAGGCAAATGAACTCACAGATGGCATCGTCCGGGTCCCCCCCCCGACCCCCGCCCTCACCCCAAATCTCTTCGGGTCCGTCCCCGGGGGCTCTGGTGCAATCGTGCCACACATGATTTTCTGGCCGGTTTCCTGATTACCACTTCCACTTCAAGACTTTTCGAAGTTTACAATACGAGAGATAAGACAAGAATTAGAAGAGGAAGGAAATCGAGAATCTATAGAACGCATTGGACGAATTGGCAAATGTTCTGGAATAAATCAAGCACGAGTTCGACGGTTGAACGAGCACCCGAGGAAGCGAACAACAAGAACGAAGAAGGGAGGGAACAAGAAACAGGAGAACCATCATCACGAAGAGCGAAGGAACTAGACTCGAAGATCTCGCGAGAAGTGTTATTCCAGCGGGCGAATTCGCAGATCTCGGGGAACGAGCCGCTCTCATGTATGAAAAGCTTCGACAAATTACTCGGCTGTTATTCGGTCTCCAACCAAATCAAAGCGATCTATCGTTTCGGAAACCTCGACTACGAGCGATGTAACCATTCTTTCCGTGACCTCAAGTTCTGTCTCAATCTGAAATATAACTTCGATAATTCCGATCCTCAAGATGACCAGCAAAGCTTTCAATGGAATCTCAGGAAGGCCGAGAAGGTCTTCGAAGCTCCCAATAGTCAGGACGTCTGGGAAGCTAGGTCCGTCCCTGTCTCTCTCTCTCTCTCTCTCATAACTCTTGGTTCGAAGCGTAATTGACGGTCCTTCAATCGATGCTTGCCTGGTGATTTTCTAGAGCTATCAAACCATTGGACCCAACGCTATTGAAATAACGAAGCCCTTAACGATGAATTTCTGCTTGGAAGATTAGAATAAGGGTATATGAAGCTACAACACTAGAAAACACTCCTTCCAAGAAAAACAATTGAGCTTTATTAAACTTGTACTAAATAGGAAAAAAAAGGGAAAGATATCTCAAGAAATTGCGTCCCAAATCTCATTCGCTAGAGTGAACCCGTCCCGATTCGTCTTGGGCTTTTGAACGACCCTTGAAGCCGTACAGTCAGAATCACAGCCTTTATAACAAATCATCAGAGGAACAAAATCAGCCACCGTTCCGTCCTTGTATAAAGAACATGAATTGCGTACGAATGAACAGCTTCTCCGGGTCGGAATTATTGCCTTCTTGGAGAGGCGTCCGAACTTGTACAAAACCAAAATCATGATAGAGTTTCGTCTTGAGTCTAAAAACATTCATCAATCAGGCATTAGCTGGCCCATACTCATATTATTTCTGTACTTGCAGCTTTTTATCAAAAAAAGAGAGATGACAAAACTTACACAGAAGAGTCGATGACAAAGTCGGGTGACCGAGTGGGTTCAGATTGCTCTAATTCATCAAGTTCGGTTTGGAGCTTGGTGGTTCGAGCTTTGACAGAACCTATGCTGTAATCGAGCCCCTGAGAAAATCCACCACCAAATCATGAGGACACATTTTTTCCTTGAATACGTTAGGGGTTTTTTGGAGTACTGCACGTGTACACACCTTGATCTTTCGAGCTTCCTCGTATGCCGATTGGTCCAGGGAATAAATTTCCGCTTGGTTTTCTCTTGCAGTCGAGTTAGCTTTCATTTTTTCCAGAGCATCTTTCTTAGCCTCAACCTGTCTATTGACACCTATATCGCCGAGGGTGGGAAGAAGAGAAAAGATTTTTTGAATGAATTAGTGAGGAGTTCCAGGCGATAAACTGATGGTTAAGAAAGAGCGAGAGAGGGAAGACTGAACGGAGGAGTTCGTTATGAGCATTCTCGACGCGTTCTCTGCGCCGTTCGTTCCATTTGAAAGTTTGGTCGAGGGCCTCATACATCATCCCGACCTCCTCCTCGACCCCTTCCTTCAAGACCACGGCCATGTCCTGAGCTAGGACCAGGGTGGTCATCCATATATCCGACTGCGATGGGGGCTCGTCGGCTGCTGTCTGATGCTGGTCCATGGATCGTTCCCCGGCCTCGTTTTCTATGGTATTAGTTCCTCGCATCTGGGAGTGGCTTTCTGGCTGGGATGATGGTATCCAACTCGAGCGGAGCTGAGACATCTTCTGCGTCGTTTCTTCCGAGTCCTTATCCACTGCAGTCCAAGGTGAGGCTGTTTCCCTCGAATTAATAAAGAAAAAAGAAAAGAAAAATAAGGTCGCGTCCCGACTCCATAGTCGCGTCCCGACATAGGGAAAGAACCTGTATCACCTACCTCGGGGATCGGGGAGCCACTCGGGGGAGGAATCTCCGGGAAAAATTGAAAAAGAAACCCCGCCCCCAGTCCGGGCCTGACAGTCGGGCCGGAACCTGTCGGAACCAAAACCCGCAGAAAGAGATACATAGCGGGCCAGACTCCGGAGCAGAGGGTGATACAGCTTATTCGACCAGATCTCCTGGTCTGTCCAGGCTCTCGCTCGGGCTGACAGACAAGGGTCCCTTGACTGTCAGAGAAAGGAAATGGTGGAGACATACGCCCAGCCAATAAATTTGGGTTTATTGTTTATTTTCCGTGACGGGTTGCACCAGTTACTCTGTGCATGACCAGCATTTAGGAAAGCTTGCTGAAGAAGATAAAAATTACGTTTTTCTCTTGCAGGGCCAGCAAATCAGCTAGACAGAGAGTGGTGTCGGGCAGCGGAGTTGAACTCGGGAGATGACCAGCAATGGCGCAACCTCATGAACATGAGATGTGGATTGAAATCATTGCATACATAGCTGGGGAAATACGGGCTTCAAGTCGGCACGGCACCCCACCCAAGTTTTCACTCAAGAAAAGAACCTACGACACTTTCAAAATGTAGTTTTATGAATCGGCGACTCGCTCTAACAGGAAGCCCTTTGAGTTTAACTGTATGATGACAGATTTCCTTCGGGAAGCACCGGATTGGGTTCAAATATATTTAAACCACATTGTCTAGTGATTTTTGTCTAAACCAATTTGATCAAGACATCTAACCCATTCTTTCAAACACCAGACGAATTAGCGCTAATTAGGAATCACAATGATCAACTGGGGTCAATCTTTGCTCTACCTGCTTATATTTCCTAATTTTTTTCACTACCACGTATTTGCGATGTACGGAGGGGCCAGAAAGCTCTTAAAGCCGACCCGAGTGGAACATATTCTCCCATTAGAGACAAGACTTTTGAGGGATCATCAAGTCAAGGTGTGTTATTTTTTGTGCCTTCTTTTGGCAATTTAAAAGAAAGGAAAAGGATAAAAGAATCTGTCACTTCTTAAAGCCAAGAATTTACCCAGATTGTGTGGTTGATAAATGCTCCTTAACTATGCTCAACTAGGGTTTAGGGGCGGCTGCGCCGCCCTGGTACACTTAAGGTACCACGAATGTTCAATCACGTTTTCAAGCTCTAGAGGGCAAATTATCACGACAAATTCATGATCTTTGCATCAATGATCTATCCCTGCATTCCATCTCGTCAAATTCCATAGAACAACTGCATAATTAACAGTTCAGACTTAAACAAAACGCCTCCACTTGAATAAAAAAAAATTATTTTGTGGGTGATGATTTCAAGCAATCATTAGCAAAGAAAGTAAGAGCGGAGTATCAGAACAATGCTTACAGAATAAGATTGTTGGAAACAAGAGAACAATCGGAGTATCGTTTTTCTTTTTCCAAATGCCCACTGTGTGAGAATCGCTCCCTTGAGAATGAAACAGATCGAATCGGTCAGCTAGGCGGCAAGAAAGATTGACATGGTTGAAAAATGATTGAGTCGAGGTGGCACACTTCAGACTTACCATGAATATAGCAAGGATCGAAGAGTTGATCCCGTTGAATAGTTGAAGGGGAGAGAAGAGGTCTGTCAAAGTGCACTATGAGTAGACAGATAGAGAGAAAAAAAGGTCAATGGAAGAAATTGGAAGGGAATGGAAGGAGGAGTTGATCGCCCGAAGCTATTGACAGCACTACATACCTTGCAGGCAATCAAAATACAAGAGAAGGAGGAAACAAGTTCCGATCCACCCTAAGTGGGTGAGGTGGTCGGAGCAGGAGTAGAGAATCCAGCTTATTAGTAGATTGATTTGAGCACTGTCTTCACGGCCACAAGCCGGCGTAGCCGGCTCTGAACTTTTGAAAAACGGTCACAACGATCGCAACTGACTTTTTCTTTGACCAACTCCAGACATCTATCTAACCATAGCAACACCCAGGTCAATACAATTTAGAGCGCAATGGAAATGGAAATTTGTAGGTAAGAACGCGTGCGCGCCCCATTTATCCCCAATGATGATGGATCTTTAACCATCCAAATTCAATCGTCAAGTCGACCAGGACTCCTCCCCCGATTCGAACCAATAACCGCACCTGCCTATTCCATTTCTTGCAATGCAAATCAGCTACCTGCTCTTCCCAATGGCGAAAGCTTATGGATTTGCTTCGTCGGGTCTTTCATGTCATCATCTTAATCGTTCACCGCACTCCCTCACTGCGCTTCTATCATTACCCTGTCATCGGACCTGTGATATTCGGGATTGCCAAAATTTTTCATGTCCACGGTCCACTTTCCACTGTCATGGAACAACCTGGAGGCGTATGTGTGACGTTGTCCGCTGTCTAGATTCATCACTCCTAGCTAACCATCAACCCTTTTTTGAATCACACAGACTCGGCTTGTTCATCTCGGTCTAAATGACACGAGTCTCACAGCTCTCCGGGGAAGCCATGGTGAGGGAGAAGGATGTTGAGTTGGCATAAGAATAGGAGGCAAAAGAAGTGGTATTTATCGGTGAGGAATGGGGGTTGTTTGTGGATGGGTGGAAAGAAATGCTTATGGGTGAAAAAGGTAAATGTAATGGGAAGTCTAAAAGGTGAATAAGAATGTACGGATCCGGAAGGTGATCTGGAACATGGCATTATTGAGTAGAGAATTGGTGGAAGAAGAATGATCTGTTTCGAAGCTCTCGGTGTGCAGGCTGCGTTTGGGTACGCATTTCATTCTGATATTGGCAAGTGTGTTGAGTATAAGATTAGGGCAGGGGTTTGTATGGCCGCTATTTCTTGGGTTGGGAGAAGATTGAGGATAGTTTCTTTGGAGTGGATAAAAGGGGAAATCTTCGGAGTAGGTGCATGGAGGCCGAGGAGGTAAAAAAGGAAAGATTGAAGTGTGATGTTTTCGAAGAAGGATTTATCAACCGTTATTGGAGAAGTGAAGAGAAAGATGATGGAAAAGGTATGTTTGGAGAGTTCTATTGTGCGGTGAAATAGGAAAGGTGTGAGGATGGGTGGGTGTATCGGTCCCATCAGGGCCATGGCAAGTTGTGCCATGCGTACAAAGAGCGTGAACAAGTATAAAAGGAGACCTCTTGTGAAGGTGTAAACCCCATCGTATGACTCTTGTTCGGCGGCATCGCTTAGATCATACGATCCGGGGACAATACCCGTAGGAGGAGGCAGGTTTTTTTTTTTTAGGACGCAGGCGGTTTGCTTAAGCTTAAACTGTTGATATTGCACGCAATAATTTATGTGACTTTTTCAGCAGGAACAGCATCTTCTAGTAAAGGATTCCTGTCAAAATTTTCATCGTCAAAAACAAAAAGTAAGTCAAGAGGTAATGGATACATTCAATAAACACTTATCTTTTGATCCCATTTTAATTGCAATCTGACAGGCCAAAAAGATTTGGAAAACCATTGGGTGAACACAATTTGTAAGTGAACTTTTTAAGATACTTGCATGACAAAACCAAATCAGTCAAGATATTATATGGGAATAAAAAATGAACAAAAATTTGTAGATCAAGAAAAAGTAACCCAGTCATTCCTAATGGATAGTAAGTTTTTTTTATTATGGTTTTCATCCTGGGGGGATTTTTTCTGGAGTCAATCAATTATTAACAGTACAGTTGTGAATCATGAACTGATGGGAATTTTAAAATTAGTTCAAATCCTGGAAGAACAAACAGAAAAGTTGAACAAATATTCCAAAAAAATGGATTCAGTCAATCAACTGAAAAAACAATTCAAAAAAGATTACATTGAGCGGAATAATGAACACCTAAGTGAAGATATGATGGGGCGGATCAAACAGGTGATGAAAGAAATGTCTCAACTTCAGGGAGAAAACGACGAGGAGCTGGTGAAGATTGCAATCTATGCCAAAGCACTTGCTGATGTCACTGCCACTAAGAAAGTGGACCCAAAAAGTATAACCAAATTAGAGAAAGCAAACCTGAATCATATCCAGTCCTTGCGCAGGTCAACATTTGTTTGGCAGCCTGAAAATACAAAAGTCAAACATCTTTTTGAATCTTTGGAATCATTGTGGGCTAAAGATGTTGATGAGCCTTCATCCACTTCAAAGGAATTCCTAAAAAAATTCCAAATCACTTCATTGCCTCGTTCCTGCTAGATCAATTTCACTTTTCTAAATTTAGCATGTTTCATCATATGTTTGGAATATGTTTTTTCTTTGTGTGGCAAAATTCTCTCCCATCTTCTTATTTGTTCTCCGTTTGATTTGAAAGCAGTTTTTTTCTCATCATAAATGCTCATTTCATCATCTTATGTTATACTTTAACATTTTCCAATGTTCAAATCATCACAATCATCACAATTGTTTGTGACTGCTTTGTTACACTTGACTCATTTTCTTCTTGGTTATCATAGCCTCATTTGAGGGTCTCTATTTCAAAGCATTTATCAACTTCGTATCCACATCATGTAATCAAACAATCATTGTTCTTCTTTTCATGTTAAAATCCCAGCAGATCCTCATCTTTCATTCAAGATTTCTCCTATCATCTCATTCTTTGTGTAGTTTCCTGGTGAACTTTGCATAAATTCACAACTCTGTGCAGATGCGAGAGGCTACAATGTTTCTGCCAATTTAAAAACCCAATCAAACTGAATGACGTGCACCACCTTTGAAAGATTATCTCGACTCATGAGGATGATTGCTGTGTCAAAAAAACCTGGGCGAGCACATCATGATAATCCCCCTGAATCCCCACTTTCGCCATCCGGTGTTGGAGGTGGGTGCCAAACCTTGCCAAACTCATCCGAGTGGTCAAGTTTCATCTGTCTGTCTGAGTAATTACTGGATCTGACGCGCTTGCGTTGGGCGGGAGCCGGTAGAGCCATTGGAAACGTGAGGCTATCCTCCTAACACGCCGAATTCTGTGATGCCAACATGTCATGATACACGTTTGCTAGGGCCTGCTAATAAGGCGATTTACTATGATGCCAAAGTAGATCCGATCTCCCCGCCTGATTCCAGTTATATATATCATTGACAGACCTCCAGTTGGAAACCAACAACGTCGAATCCATGAAGTGGAATCATTTTCTGCCCTGCCTACTTCTACTTCTACTTTCCTATTCCTTTCACCATCATGCGATCGCCAAGCTTGGAAATCTCGGCAAGTTGCTAAAGGGCGACTCGGGTCAAAGGCGATATTCCCCCCTCAGAGATGAGACCTTAGAAGAATCATCAAGTCAAGGTGTGTGTTCATATCAAGTACATGTATCCAAGAAATTTTGCGTCGATCTAAATTCTAATCACCTGGAGAAGCTTTCCGGGCCACGCTGAGTATGGTCATCGATGATTCACCTTGTTATTTAAGAAACAAAATCATCTTCAGGTAAAGGTTTTCTTTCAACAATATTACCGAAATTCAAAGGTAAGTCAAAGGCTGTTAGTTCCACCCGAAACCCTCAACCAGACCCGGAACTGGAAGGATGGGTGAACATGATTTGTAAGAGACCCAATCACAATTAAAGACAATTGTCGTTGTGCAAAGCTGACATAAAGTTAATTGATATGTCTGGAACCTACAAAATAACCTAACCTCTGAAGACCAAACGCAAGGCACCAACGCGTTCCTAATGAATCGTAAGTTCAGTAACGATGGTTTTCATTAATTTAAAATTGCTATCGATTAAACTGCGGGATGACGGTGATTCTCAACCAGTGAAGCTAGACCCGAAACCGCCAGAAAGTTTCGAAGCGCTTTCAAAAGAAATCAAATCGGCTAACCGACTGATCAAACAATTCGAAAATGATATGAAAGAGCGCCCGAATCGACTCCTTAGTGGATCTATGAGAGAACTCATTGAGCAGGTGATGGGACAGCTATCTCTTCTGAAAGGAACAAACGACGAAGAACTATCGAAGATTGCGATTTGTGCCAAAGCCCTGGCCGATATCACCGCCGCCAAGCAACCGACCACATACCAGATAACAGAATTGGAATCAACGAGCTTGAAGTACATCATGGTGGTGTGGGATAATTATATTCAGCCCTCCCAAAACGAGCGAGTTAACAGCTTTTTCGAAAACTTACGAATATTGTGGACTTCTAAAGTTTAACGGTGCTTGCTACTTAATCGTGCATATTTTGAAAATAATTAATCATTTAATCTTACGAGTTTTGGCTATCTACTGGATAATTTTGAGGACTGAAGTTTCATACTGCGGCAACACTTAGATAACATCTTAAATGCAATTATTGATAAGAAAAAAAAATTAAGAAAATGTTCAACCCATCCAGAGCTGCTCAGTGCTGGCTAGTGTGAGGTTAATATGATTGAGAGCTGAGAATTGAATTTGAATGAATGTTGTTTTACACTTCCTTACATTATTAATTGATAGTTCTGAAAGTGAACTAATTAAGGTAAGTAAAACCTTATTATAGGTTTATCAAAGCTTTAGTAATGAAGGAGCTTATGTGGTATCTTCATATGCAATGTCTGTAATTCATAGCATCAAAACTACAAGCTGTGGGGTGAATTACAGCGCACATAGCCACATGGGACCATATGTTACACCCCTAAACCATTACTAGAGCAGACAGATAATAATGGCCTGGTTGCCATTCTCTGGTAAGATGCTAGACACTGTCCAAATCTTCCTAGATGGAATTTATTCACGTAATCAATATAGTGAATGACAGCAATTATGCATCCAAGTCACCTCACAACTGTTTGTTTTTCTCATTACTAGGGGTAAGGGGCGGCTTTGACACCGTGAACCTCTGGGTGTCAGCCTTAGAGCCAGCCAAGCTGGCCAAAAGACTGCTTAAGTCCTCCTTTTCAGCTATGTTCCTACTTTAACTTTTTTATCTCTTGATTTTATTACATTCTGACTTCAGAAATGAATTCCTCATGTGATTTTAGCCTTAGTCACCACGACATACTTTTACACTACTCTTCTCCTTCATAGACTTTGTAATATTTCACCATACCTTGTGAAATATCAACCAAGTTGGAATTCCAACTCTCTACCACATGTACATGTTGTGATTATGTAATCCAGCTCTGAAAATTCTATCAGAGGATACTGAGTTTGCATTTTCAGGAAATTCAAGCCCCAGACACACCCAGAACCAACTCAGACCAGAAATCACCAATCTCAACTTGGATACATCACCGCTACATCATCGCCGTGTTATTGTTTGGAGTCCCTTAACTATTGGAATCTTCCCACTCATTGTGTCAGGATCACCAATAATTAATTCACTCCACAAGTTCAGCTTGCATCCCTCTGGCCTGCTAAGTTCTTTCTCTGTCTCTCTGAATGATTGCTTCATTCTGTTTCTACTAAACCTCTGCCTTAAACTTCACTGCATCAAATCAAGTCATCATCATCTTCTCTGTTTGGTGGTATGACTGAAAACCACATAGGTTTCCCTGTAAAGAACCTTGATCATAGATCTAAAAAATTGAGGTTGGATTGACATATCAATACCAATTACCCTTCTCAGTTTATTTTGAGCAAGGAGGATGGATTTATTCCGCTTATAACAGACATCCTTAAAGGAAAGTAAGACTGAAGTAAACCTTGATTATCAAACAAATAAACAATAAAAAAATCATTCATTTCTTTTCTCTTTCTTTCTCTCTCCCTTTCTCTTGTTCTAGTTGTATTTCTTTATCCTCTCAAAATACATCTAGAATTGCCCCCCAATCCTTGGGTCCTGCTGTCACTTTGAGACCCAGGCTCACACTGGGCACCAACCCTTGCTTTCAAGCCATTACATATGTCCATTGAGACATCAACTTTCATCCAGAATCACAACATAATTTGAAATCATTACTTACCCTGATAACCTCCCTTGTGATTAACTTGATTTCTTTTCACCAGCTCAATCTTGATTCACAGGTATCCACCATTGAGCAATCAACAACTTTACTTTTTGCTAATACCTGTGGTTGCACAAAAAAGATGCAGAAAGGCGCTTGATTACATACAATTTAATTGTTCAACTTGTACAGGCACTGGATTTTGAACCAGGAAACACAAGTGTTGTGACACACACCACCCTTACTGGCAAATGCCATGTTGCACTCCACTTGAAAGTGTGCTAAAGCAGTCTGATGAAATCATTACTTTAATGTTGCCAGTTCAAGGGAACTGTACATTGCACAAGCATGAAACAAATCTTGACCAATAATGTCTTATTGAAGAATCTTGACCAATAATGTCTGATTGAATCATTTGGCTAAACCATTAGATTGAGGTGAGTTATCCTGTCCTTGTTCCAAAGAAATGCCACGATCAAAAAGCATTTTTTTTAAAAACATTAGAACTAAACTCACCACCTCAATTGGTGTGAAGAATAGCCAGAGTTATTGATAATTGATTAATTAACTCATTAACAAACAACATATTTTTTGATTCCAAGTCACTCTTCTTTTACATGAGATAAATCTGGTTGAAACACAAAAAATCTTCAATAAGGACTAGAATGTATTGAAAACTGCCACGAGAAAGAGGAGTGATTTGAAAAACGTCCATGTGAATCATTTTGAATGGTGACAAAGCAGAAAGAAAGGATTAGAATGGGCTGATTGTTTGATTTTAGCCATGCAACAAACTTCACACTGAGAAGAAGAACTGATTTTTGTGTTCTTAGGAATCTTCATTAGCTCAAGGAATTGTTTGACATTGATATCTGACGGATGGCCAAGGATGGCCAAGAGTGACATACCAGTCTTCCAAAGAATCTTTTTCAGTGAGCAAAAAAAAGAAAACTTGCATTGGAGTTTGTACTGGATGAGATGCATAGATTTCAGACACAAGGAAACTTTTCAATTATCATTGATTCCATATAGACAATTACATAATTGTTTTTGTGTTGAATATGAAAACATGATCTTCAAGTTGAGATAAATATATCAATTTACATTTTACTGCAGGAGCGTTGTGAGAACTCCTTTAGGATGGATGGCAGTCCTGCAAGGGCGAAATAGCAGTTATGATATTTCAAGTATGTATGAAGCTATTAAAACTGTTACGGGTGGTTTGAAAGACATGACCCTCTAATGTACTACACTAGAATTCTGAAAACAAATTTATCTTATTGTCGTGGCAAAAAACTGATGATAGAGAAAAACTATATGTAGTAGTCTCTTATCAAACCTAGATCAATGTGGATTCAGCAGAAGAGTTAGTGGATTTTTTGAGTGGAAAGAATTTGGCACAGTTTACAGCAGGCTGGAATCAGATAATGGAAAGATTTGTAAAAACTGTGAGATATTTTATTATGTTTTTGTATGTTTCTATGTGTGAGATAAGGTAAATTTATAATATGTGAGAAGACTGAGAGGAAATTGATGATAATATGAACTATTCAAAATGTCTTTGCCCTCCTCCTTAACCTTCAGTTAAGATAACAAATGGGTTAAGATCACTTTGACTTGTTAAGAGCACAAGAGGTGATGCTTGCTACCTGACTTCTTCTATGCTTCCTGAGGTAGTTTATGGGCCACCTGTTTGAGATTGCACTTTTGAATTTTACCTTGATGTAAATGAAGACTCTGAGTGAGATGTGTGTAGCTGGTAGGTGTGCTGGATTGGCATGAGGAACTGACCTGGTGAGGGAGGAATGGCCTCCTTATATAGTAAATTTTGGGGGATTTAAGCTGGTGGGAAAATCCTGTGAGGGATTTGTGCTGGTTCAAATTCTCCTTTGAAGGACTTTTGCTGCTTGTAAACTTATATTGAGGGGTTTTTGCTGCATGGAAAACCCTATCAAGCCATGTTTGCTAGTGTGCTGTGAAAAAAAGTGTGATCCAAAGCATGTGACAGGTGATGTCAATATATGAGCTTACCCCATTTGCTGCATAATTTTTACCGGATGCAAAAATCATTTCTATGTAAAATGGATAAGACAAAAAATTTTTAAACCTCTCAATATGTAAGAAATCAATTTAAAATTACAAAAAATAAAGAATAATAAGCCTGTAAAAATTAATTAAAAAACCATGTTGAATGCAATATTCAAGAAAGAGTTTTCATTTTCATGCAAAGTGATTATTGCCATCATTGTTAACATGTCTCAATGTGTGGGAAATAAACTTAAAATGTTAAAAAATATTGAGAAATGACATGTAAAGAATTAATTGAAAAAATGTCTAATTGCAGTATTGAGATGAACCATTGATTTTTTTTCAAATTGGATTTTACCATTGAATTCCATTTTATAGTGTAGGAAACAACTTTAAAATTCAAAAAAATAATAAAAAAATAAGGTGTTAAAACTTAATTTAAAAAACGTGTCCAAACGCGGAATCTGTGTGTGCTGTGCTGCTGCAAAACCGTGTGTAAACACGGAAAAACCACATTTTTTATTTGAGGCCCTAATTAAAATTCATTTTTATGGAAAATGGTTTTTGCCACTAAATTCTACACACTTTAAAACATAGGAAACGGATTTAAAATGTCAAAAATACTCAATAAATAAGCAGTAAAAAATTAATTAAAAAAAACGTGTCTAGACACGGAATCCGTGTGTGCTGCCCAGCTGCAAAACCGCGTGTAAATGCGGAAAAACCAATTTTTTTTTTATTAAGGCGCTATAAAATCCTGATTGAGCAAAAAAACACCAACATGAACTGGGGGGATATTTGAGGCATGTTGTGAAGACAAGACAAAGAAGATCAGCATGTGGAGCTACTGCCTTGATGATCAAGAATGGAAATCTTTGCCAATGAGGTCAAAGAGTCGGACCAATCAGATGACTTGTAGCAAATCTTCTGTGGGACCATATTTATGAAAACCTGAAAAAAAAAGCAGTCACAGGTCTAGTGCTCTTCAGGTTACAGTTGCGGATGGCAAAGACCTGTGGGATTTTTTGGCCTGTCCGGATTGCTAGAGCCCAAATTTTCCCAAAAATTTTGTCCGCCAAGCTGGGACCCAAAGATCTTTTTCTGTTTTGTAGGTGGAGATACTCCCAATTTGGTACAATTAGAATTTTGCATATGTATGTATGACTCTCAAGGGTGACAGCTTGTGCCGCAGCCTTCTGTTACCGTGCCAGGAAGGGCTTTATTCACATACAGTGCATGTTGTGTCCTTCTCAATTTCCCATCAAATCAACACTTCCGTCTAGGTATGTACATTGGCCATTTTTTTAACTTGATCTGAGTTTATTCTTTGATAAACTTTTAAAAGTCTGCTGATTCTTACTTGAATTGCCACATACATAGCATCATGGCGGTAAGCAACGCTGAAAAAGGTCAGAGACAACAACGCTGTAGAGAAGCAAAAGAGAAGGATTCTGAAGAGGCAACAAAAATCAAAACAAAAACAATTTCGAAAAAAATCCAGCTCTTGCTCAACACATTCTGGAAAATCCAGCTCTTGCGCACAACCAATACCTATCTCCTATGAGGATGACAATGAAATCAACTCTCAGAGAATTATACCTATTCCAGATAGCGACAAAGATGAAATTGAGGTTGCAAATATCAATAATTGTGGAGCTTTTGAATCAAACAAAGCTCATCCCAGCTTGCGTGGAAGCAATATTGGCTCAACTCATGACAAAATCCCAAAACATTGACCTCACATTGAAGATGATGGAGACGTGTTTGAGATCTATGAAAAAGAACTTGAAGAACAAAACCGAGCTAACAATCTAGTGCAATATGTCGAGGCTGCCCTTCATGACGACACATCTGATGAAGAAAAGCCTCCCAATAAAATGTGGTCATCTCTCTTTGGCACTGCTCTTCCTATCGAAAGTAGAAAAAAATGTCTCTTGAAATCTGGGAAATCCTCTTACAGACAGCCGGTTTCAAACCCTAATCCCCTATCTCAAAAGCTAGTCCCTCCACCTCTTCCCCGTCAAACAAAACATGATCGAAAGAACAAACAAATTCAAGCACTTGGCCACAACAAAAACATCATGCAAAACTATCTCATCCAACAAGAAACCCCCATCAAAAATAATGAACCAACAATCGATCCAAATCTTGAATGTGCAACTCTCGATGTGGCTCTTGATACAACTCTTCAGACCAACAATGATCATCTGCCAAATGAAGACCTCTTGGATTCGGAGGCAGTTTAAGTACGTCTTGCGGATCAGATGAGCAGCTATCTTTCAGCTCCAAGAGCCCCTGTGGCTAAAAATCGATTGGAGAAGGCTCGAGCCCTTTGGGAGGATCTGAACACTGCAATTACTTCTGTAACTGCCATTCTCAAAGAAAAGGCTAAGAAAGATAAGAGCCTACGATTTCCTCAGTCCATCATTGATAATCTGAAAGAATTCAACATCCTTCGATTCAAGTTTATGCTTGATGGGACCAAGCTCCCCACCAAAGCTGCATCTCTGGCTACTGCTCAGTCATCAATACGTTGAAACTCTTCAAAAGATGAACCACAGCACAACCGTAGTGGAATTTACCTAGCCAGAAACATTGCTAAGCAAGCTCGACACATAGTTAGATACCGGGAGCTTGCTGTAATCAAACACGGGAATTGTACAAACCACAAATCCTTGCTGAACAATAATGAACTTCTGGCATCTCTTTTCAAATGGGCTGCATCACAAGTCCCCGGAGCAGTAAGAAGATAATTGTCTTTTTGATATCATTTCAATTTAGAAAGCTGATCCAATATAGGTTTTTTCTTTAGGTCACTCCGATCACATTCCAGTCGTTTGTTATCAATGATCTTCTTCCAAGTTTTGGAATTGGCAGGTCTATCAGTCGCAAATGTGCTACTTGATGGATGGTTAAGCTTGGATTCCGATCACAGGTGCACAAGAAGTGCCTCTATTTCGATGGCCACGAGCGACCTGATGTTGTCAAATCAAGAATTGAATACCTTGAAACCTACACAATGTACCAAAAGCGATCACACATGTACGATACTGAGACGTTTCAACAATCTTCAAGAGTTGATACTGAAGTGCTGGGTTCTATGAAAGAGAAAATCTTTGTCTTCCACGATGAATCTACCATTCACGCAAAGGAGAGGCCTAAATCCTCCTGGCTTCTTCCTGGAACGACTGAGATACAATCAAAGAATACCGGTTGATTAATTCACATATCCGATTTTATATTAGAGACCTTTGGAAGACTTGAACTATCCAACATTGAATTCCAATCTTCCCAGCATGATGGAGGCACTAAGCCTGTCTCAGCCAATGCTGCTACCGTCATCTATCCTGGAAGTAATGGTGATCCATGGTGGGACATGGAACAGTTATTCAAACAGGTTTCAAAGAAGGCAATTCCCATTTTTCAACACCTTCATCCAAATTCTCAAGCCGTTTTTATCTTTGACTGTTCATCAGAACATGGTGCCTTTTCAAAGACGGTGCTAAGAGTTCAAAACATGAATCTCAAACCTGGAGGCAAACAATCTCATCTCCGCGACTCAATCATCCCTTGTGATGATCCATGCATTCCGTTACACCTTTGAGGCCGACCTCAGACTTTTTCCTACAATTCATCACACCCAGATCCAAAACTCGCTGGCCAAGCAAAAGGAGTCCAGACCATCTTAGAAGAGAGAGGTCTTTGGCAGCATTACAGATCCAAAGCACGTGAAAATGGCAAACCAGCATTGAAGTTACGGTGTGACAGTTGTGCTATGTCAAACATGCGAAAAGATGCGACCAAACAATCAGCTAAATTATTGCGTCAAGCCAAAGACACCGGTTATTTCTTGTCCCAAGAACAATGTGTGAACGAGATCATGGCCACCAATTCCTCAAGCCCAGATGTAGTGGTTAATCAAGATGAATCTAACAACTCAAGCACTTGCTGCTGGTCCAAGATCATGTCTTGTCAATCCGATTTTGTCAACGAACGACCATTATTACAACAGATCATCGAGGATTCTGGACATGTCTGTCTTTTCTTACCCAAGTTCGACTGTGAACTGAACCCAATTGAGCTCTTCTGGTCTTATATTAAGGATTGTAAGTTTTTTTTTATTTCTTCAATACAATTTTTGCATGAGCTGACTCTGCAATTTTAATACCGTATTGAAAGCAGTCTCACACCACTCAGTTGTTTCCTGCTGCAAAAGACCTTTTTGAAAAGGTTCGGAAATCCTGCCCTCTTGTCACCATACGAAATTACTTCTGCCGCATCGATCGACAAATTTCAGCATATCAACAAGGATATAACGGTCCTCAATCCCAAGTACTGATAAAGAAGTACAAATCACATCGCTGTATTCCTCGAAACGCAGTGATGAGCATTGACATGTTGACCTGAAAAATTTTCCTGCTCATCTTACAATCGATCAAGTTTTTCTTATTTTACAATCGATCAAGTTTATTTGACAATCAGTTTGAAGACTTTCACATACAAAAAAAAATTGTTTTACAATCCATTCTTGTTTCTTCATCTCCTGCGCTGCTCTCAAATTAAAACTGCCTGTCGCTCAATTTGCTTGACCAAGCCAATCAAGCAAAGCTTTGACCTCAGGCTTGAAATTTCATACCCAGGGCTTGCATAAGTCCATAATTATGGGTTTATGAAGCTCTCTTAACTTGATACTAAGCTGTAAGTACATAATTATGGGTTGAGTGTATGGTCTTGAGGGTATGTCCGGATTTTTTGGTGACCGAAAAAAAAAAAAATTGGCTGGGCAGAAACCTTAGCCGACTTAATTCTGAGATCTACAAGGTCTGAGACACCCTTAATTGTGGTTGGCTTGTGGTTCCGGCCTATGTGGTGTGAGTTGATAGGGCCCGCGCACAAAATGTATTTTTGCGGGTCGGCCCCCACAGGTCTTTGCCATCCGCAACTGTAGTAGCCATGTAAGCTGAGCTGATTTATGAATTTGATCATTTTCTGTGGAGTGGAGCCTAGAGATAAGTGGGCTTGAACTGACATATGTAAGTCTGGGGTCTCAAAGGTCACATCAAAAATGAGTTACAAAGGATGCTTTTGATATTATTAGATCACCAAAACTGAGCATAAATAGTAAAAAAAATTCTCAGACTGATTCAAATCGATTCCGCAACTGTAGTAGCCATGTAAGCTGAGCTGATTTATGAATTTGATCATTTTCTGTGGAGTGGAGCCTAGAGATAAGTGGGCTTGAACTGACATATGTAAGTCTGGGGTCTCAAAGGTCACATCAAAAATGAGTTACAAAGGATGCTTTTGATATAATTAGATCACCAAAACTGAGCATAAATAGTAAAAAAAATTCTCAGACTGATTCAAATCAATTTGTGGTTTGATTAAGGCCCTGTTTGGCAGCGTCATAAATCTAAGTGTAATATTGCCTTATCAATTAAATAAAAAATAAACCACTGAGAAATATTTAACAAAATTTTTACTGAGGAAATTTCAACTACTGATTTCAAGGTTAGTATGAACAAGGTTGAGATAATGGGCTACCTTCAGCACCATAATACCAATATTACACCTTTCACCCATATACAGTGTAATATTGATATTATGGGGCTCAAGAAGGCCTAAGATATCAAATTTGTTACCAGCATTAATGAAACCAGTAGTTGAGATTGCCTCAGTAAAATGTTTGTTACATATTTCCCTTTGGTTTATTTTTCATTGAATTAATCAAGCAATATTACACCTGAATTTATGATGCTGCCAAACAGGGCCTAAGACATTGTTTCTCCCACAGCATTTCAGGAAAAAGAGGTGTAACTTTGCCTGACCCCATTAAGGTACATTCAATCTTCACAACAACAATGCCATTGGTTTGAGCTACTGTTCATATACACAGCTCACAGTAGTTACTTTGCTTACTTAAAGATCCACAAAGTGCGGATAAGTGTTTCAACACCACGATCCATGCAAGCTTTTCTTTCAAGTCCACAAATCCCCACACTGTATTGTTGACCCGCAAATAAAACCAAGAAATGTTGGAGATTAAGGTCACACAGCCGTTTGATGATCTGTGAAAAGACACTACACCCCCCAAAAAGACACAAATCTAAATCAAAAGTGTGTGTTGAACCACCAAGTCACAATAGACATTTTGAACCTGCAAGTCAGAAACGAAAAAAAGCCTTTGCTGGTGACTGTGTGCACCAATATGATCAGCTGTGTATTGTTGGATGATGTGTTCGATTTAATTCGAACAGATCGACGGTCCATTCCCCAAGACAGGTTTTCGAGGTATCCTTCATGACTGAAACTCATCATCACCAACCAACCAAGCATCCCAAGAACCGATCAAGAAACACACAAGGCTTTTTTAATGGACCGATTCGCATCCTCCGTCCAAAAACAAACCACGATGCCCAACTTACAATGAAATGGTAGATCTTGATCAGAGAAGGAATTGATGGATCAAACTAAAACTAAAATTTCTTCAGGCGATGAATCAACTATAGTCGTATGTGAGAGACCCAAACAAAAAAAAACGACGGCAGACAGACAAACACTGGGAAGGGGGATGGGGATTGACGACGACAATGACGACTGAGTGGGGGGGGGTATATATGATAAGCAGATAAACAACCGACAAATAACAACCAAAACATTATTAAAATAGGGGGGTTCGATAATAAGGATAAGAGACGGTCTATACAATCAGACCTTACCAAGTAATTAGAAACGATAAAATAGAAAATTTTAAAAAACAAGTAGTTATGTTTGCAAAATAAAATAAAAATAAAAAACTAGGACATGGGAGATTATATTATGGGCAAAGCGATTGGAGTCTTGTGCGAGTGAGTTCGGATGATGTGAGGGGAAGATGACCAAGCCGGAGTACAGCAGCACGAGCGAACGAACAAAAGAGCGATCGTGTGTGGGATGTAAATTGGCTGTGGCTCATGGTCACACATACTTTAACATGTACTCTACTCGGACCTGAAAAGGCTCGCTCCTACAAAACGCGATATATATACCTACTTCGCCCGTCCAACGACATTTTGTGTTCTGATGATTCTTCGTTTTTCTTCGATGGTGATGTGAAATTTTGGCTCGGTTTCTTCTGACCTGTTTTCTTCTTCGTCTTTCGTTGTTTTCTTCTATAATTTTCGCGGTTATCGTCTCCTTATTCTTCTAGATTCGGGTTGTCTTTTTTTTGTTTCGTTTTCCTCTACGAGGTCTTCAAATCCCTGACCAATCTTCGTCCATCTACTATTTTTTTTATTGATATTATTATTTTTATTGATTTTTTATGGTTCTTTTTTCTTTTCTTATTTTTTTTTTTTTTTGGTTTTTGAGAGGTTTGGTTGTCCACCATTCTATGTACACGTCTTTCCGACCATTAGTTTGATATTTTTTCCCTCCATTCGAGTTCGATTTTCTAGTGATCGAGTGACCATCCTCAGAATGCCATTAACCCGCCTCGCCTAAGAAAAGCCCAACAAAAAGGACAGATAGAGGAAAGGAGAGTTAGAGATGGTTGAACCAGATATTTTGAAACAAAAAATGCAAAGGCTGGGATAGTGAACAGTTACGAACCTGTTTCCGAAAGGATAAACAAGCACGGTAGCAACAAAGAGACCGATGACGAGACCCAAGGAGACCTCCAAGAGCTGCTGGCCGACCTGAAAGCCGGAGGTGAATGAATGGGAAGAGTCTAAGGTATTAGCGAAGTAGAGGAGGCCGCCGTTGCCTAGTCCGGAAGGAAGCTGGAAGAGGATGGGAACGAGGGCGACGATGAAGGAAGTGCCCTGGAAGAGTCGGCCATAGATATTGGCGAGGAAGCCGACGACGAAGGAGCCCAAGGCGGAGCTGATATCCGAACGATTGGGGAACGCCAGCGAGGCAAAATGATTCGCCGTGAATCCTCCGGAGGCTAGGATGACCATCACCCAGATCTCCTTGGAGTTCAGACGGGAGTGTTGACGCATCGCCAGGAATAGCGCATACCCCGGGACCACAATGAATAACGACCATAACGGGATCGTGGTACGATACCACTTGTCGGTCGTGTGTGAGAGTCCGCACGTCCCATCGATCGAGACTTGAACTGGTTTCCCGGAAAATAAAGTCCAGAACTCCGCTCCGACTGAAATACCAAGACCCAAGAACACTGTCAAATGTTTTAAGAATTGAAGTACCGAAGCGATTTGGTTAGTATAGATACTTCAAAGTAACTGCTGGAAGTCAAGCCAAGCACTTACAAGCATAAATAACAGCCCAGATGAGGCGAACACTACCGGAGACGATGCACCTAGATTGGAGTTCGAGAGCCGCACAACAGACGAGCCAACCGGGGAGGATGAGGACGATCGAGGAAGCGATGACGGCAGAGTAGCAGAAGTAACCGGTAGAGGCGAGGCCAGCGGCGACGAAGCTGGTGAAGCCAGTGACGACGATCTCGAGGATCTGGGAGAGCACGTCGGATTTGTTGGCGACGAAGAGCTGAGCAGCTACTAGTCCCGCGCCCAATGGGGCCGAGATCAAGACGTCAAGGAAGCTCGAATTGAAGGCCGCTGGACCTATAAACACACTGCACATGGCCCCGATCAACACGGTCTGCCAGTTTTTGTACTCCGGTGCCGCTCGCATCAATCGCGAGATCTCTTGACTGGCTTCTTGTACCCCAATCTTATCGTGCACAACTTCCCAATGTAAAGTCGCTAAATCGGTTAACTTGCCCAAGTCTACGTTTGGGGATTGTTTGATGAACTTGGTTTCGGAGGTACGAGTAGCCTCATCTTGGAACGAAAAGATGCAGACCCTGCATCGAGTCATCAAGAAAGAATGTGTTAGTCTCCTAAACATGAGAAGAAGAAAAAAAAAGTAGCAGATTGTGAGAAAAACGAACGAGTAAATCAATACGACTTGTAAGTCGATTTCTAAGACTCTAGCGGTGGCTAAAATTTGAGACTCCAATCTATGAGAGGGACCGCCAAACATCATCAAAGCCCTAGTGAGCTGGAGGATGAACTGTTGACGTTGAAGGATAGCGGCGACGTGCATGGTGATGAAGATTTCTTCCTGGCGTCTCTTTTCGCGTCTTCTGCGAGCGAATTGGTTGTGCTGATGAGCTTTACCGGGTACTTGGTTGGGGTAGTTATAGATTTGGGGCGGCAAGCCGAGTGGTGTGACGGCCGGCGACTTTTCAGCTGCAGAGAACATCTCCTTGGAGGGTGTACCGGGTGTGCTTCCGGAGGCCGAGCCGGTTTTCTTAGCCTTCAAGACTGCGGACTCATTGTGGAAGTTGGTTGGCTTGATTGCGTCTCCCAACGCTTTGAGACTGACCATACTGCTCGACTTGTGCATGCGGCTCTTGAAGATAGAGCCCACGCTGCTGCTGGCACTAGATGCCATTCTAGCTCCCGCGAGATTCTCTGGGACTCCATGAATGCTGGGTGAGGACGGGTTAGTGATTCCGATTGCTTCATCCCCCGAGTGCCTTCTCACTAGGATCCCGGCACTGGTTACCTTTCGGAGACGGCCAGTCAGACTATCATCTGCTGGTGTCGCGGCCTCAGCCATTGCGCCGTATGGGTCATCAGATGTCAGGGTGAGGGTGGGGGTGGAGGTGGTAGGATAGGCGTTATCGGAAGGTTCGCCAGTCCTACTGCTGTAGCGTGCCAATCGGAATCCCGACTTTTCAGCAGCGGGCGCGATTTGGGCGGCTGTTGGGGAAGCAACCCCACCGAGTCCCATCGCACTAGCTGCAAAGCCCCAAAGACGCCTGCATTGGAGCGGGCGGTTGCAGGCCTCTCAGTGTCGAATTTTTGGATCACCTTGGAGAATCCCTGGACGATCTTCTGTCGGGCACTCAAGATGGGGTCGAAGGAGGATCGTGAGGAGGCTGGGGGGTCCTTGTTGGCATCGGCTTCATAAGTTTGATTGTTGGCAACGGGCTGTTGGTGAGTGGGTAGAATGGGTGGTGGTGTAACATGCCGATTGTCCAGATTTGTCGCTCTGGTGTGTGAGTTTGCGCTACGACTGCCTTCACCGCCGGCGTCTGATTCCTCGTCCGAGCCGCCGTTGATCAGGGTTATCGATGATGATTGAGCACTGGACGGGTGGTTGTAGAGGTGGAGCAAGGAGCTGAGCACGCCGTTGCCCATCGATATGCCGGCCCCCTTGAGGCCGGACCGGCTCGGACCGGGGGCAGCAGCAGCGAGACCTAAGTTGGCACCGAGCACGCGATTCTCGCGCACGGTGGCATTATGGGAGGCAGCCGTCCCTAGCCGCTTTCCCGGGACACTCGGCCGGATGGCCTGGCCCGGTTGGCTACGACCAGCCGCGGAGGACATGTTGAACTTGTGGAGGGAGACCAGATTGGCAGCCTCACGAGTGAATGTGCGCGGCTTGCGGTTCGGGTTAGAGGGTAAGCCATCACGCTCTCCAAACGGCTGATTCCAAATGACGTCATCCCGAACAGAGGAGGATCAGCACCAGAAAAAAATAAAAGAAAGACATTTATTTATTTATTTCACATGCAAACCAGAAACAGGCTAAAGGCTAAGCTGGCGGCTGGCACAAGCAGGGCCAAGCGGGAGGGATGTGCAGAACGCCAAGGGCTTGACACAAAAGTTGTGCATCGCGAAGCTCAATCTCAATTATCGCCACGTGAAATCATGAATATATGGATCTGACGTATTATGTAATTATTCACGTGTCTGCAGATCGCGGTATATGCCCACACACATGTACATACATGCACTAACACTAACACGACCCAGCTGGCTGGGTCGGAGAAACACAGATCTGTAATCTTAGTGTCACAATCTCGGGGATGATTAGGGTTCATCGGGGAAAGAAGAGCGATAGCTCAGATGGCATGGTCCCATGGATGAAAGGTATATGATGAATTGATATGTTTATTCAAAAGCTAGTGGCAAACAAGATAGCCTAGCAGCAAGGGGCACTGTGGTTCCAGGCAGATAAAGTATGAGAGATGCTTGTGCATCCTGTTGGTTTTTTTTCTTGGGGGGGGGGGAGGGATTTCAATTGGTTTGTTTTGATATATATATATATATAAATATATTATGATTGTGATAATAAGAGACAGGAGGGACATCTCCCTGATCGTCACAATGCTGGAAATCAATCGACAAGGGAAAGAGGAGAACATGAGAGCGAATGAGGAGGAAGAGAAGCAGATACTAACGATGTCTAGATCGGAGTCCGGTGTGGCGGGTCGGGATTGATCAGGAGTAGCCATAGGAGTAGTGGGCGTCGGGAGATAGGCTTCCTGAGGGTAGAGGGTGGGTTGCTTGGAGGCGAGACGAGAGCTTTGGGAGCGAAGAAGATTGTTGCGATACCTATTGAGGTTGGTGGAAGGTTCCACGGGCTGGATTGGTTGGGGCAAGATGGAAGGGAAGTAAGGGTTATTAGAGATTGGGATGGCACAGACGGTGGATGAGTTGGCTCTGGTATTCAGATTAGTAGAGAGGGCAAGCGAGGAAGTGGAATTGTCTCGAGAGTCAGAGTCCTGCTCATGATGGACTAGATGACGTCTGGCTGTTCGAGCATGCTGGGAAGCTATCTGTTGGGATAATTGCTCGAGTGTCGGACGATCAGGTAGACGGATCGAGAGTGGACGGGAGAAGCTTGTGGATGAACTAGGAGTTAGAGAACTCGGTTGAAGAAGATGATGCTGGTGATCGGAAAGGGATGAAGTAGTCGGGTCTGTGCCAGTGCTCGACTTGTGGTTCGGTGGGGAGAGAAGTGGTTGAGGATGGGACTGGTGGGAGGAGGAAGAGGGCCAATCGTCGAGCTCGGTTGAGTCCCTTTCGCGCAGGCCGACCCATTGTACCCTCCGTTTTTTGTGCGGTGTGGTTGAGGCAGAGGAAGAAGTTGATGAAGGGTCTAAGGCAGGCGGAGCGATGATCGTTGGTGGTCCAGGCAGAAGAGGTTCACTGGCGGGCGATAGCGGCGGTTGATGGGATTCTTGCTGCTGAGGAGACATCAGAGGCTCATACATGGACGATGTGCTTCTGCTGATGGGCACAAACACCAGGGCTCTCAGATTAATAAGCTTTTTTTGGGGAGGGGCCGTCGGCTGCACGACAATGGTTGGGTGGGTATATAGGAATCCAAAAGGCAGGCGCAACCCACCGTTTTGAGCTATCGTAAATAATATGTAGTTCGAGCTACGGCAGAGCACAAATCCGGCTGAACAACCATCGCAAATTCAATCTGCACGCATGAAAAAAAAAAAAGAAAAAAAAAGCAAGAGCTGGAAGCAACCGTTCGAGGGATGGTGGTTACATAATGATAAGAAAAGCCAATCGAATCACACGATCGCCCAGACAGGTCTGGCCAGCAACAAATCTATAATGGACGGGAAAGAGTCATGAAAAGATAAGGAAACAACTACCGAAAAAAAACTCACACAGTAACATACCCCAGTCAAACCCCAGCCAGAAGACCCCTTGGTGGACCCTTTATAGATAGGGAATTCTTGAGCCGACTTGCAGGGCAATCTTTCGGCTAGCATGAGGTCGTCTGTATCTTTCTGGCAAGGCGTGCCAGTTGGTGCACACTGCCCACTCGGAATAAGCATGGCTATGATCATGTTTGAGGCCTGCAGGAGGGGACGGACCCTTGGACACGATTTACACCAAAACACTGATCGGCCGGAGAGACATTCTAGAGCGACTCGGCGGAATCGACGTACTCTCTTCGGCCAGCTCATCATCATTGTCGGTCCGACACGGCATGAGGAGCACTGACCCCCTACTCCCGCTACATGCACACCTCCTGATCGGTACATTTCCTTTCTTTTTTTTTTGCTGATCGGGCTATCCGACGGCCCATGACCGGCATCATTCGTCTTGGGCCGACATCACCAAGGGGGGGGGGGGGGGGATTATATAATCTGCCCCGGCCCACCCTCTCGGGCAAGAAACTTAACAGGCCGGATATGGTAATAAGGGGTGGATCTATCACCCATCCTTGGTGGCCGTTGCAAAAGGAGCACTCTTAGGTAACGAATCGGTTAGAGGTGTTTTTCCCAGCAAGCTGAATCTAGCCGGATTTGATCAAGTCTCAAGAGTCAAAGCGTTGATTGGATTGTTCATCATTGTACAGGCCTATACATCTACAACAAGAAAAAACCTCCGAAAGTCAAACCGAGCGCTTTGTCCCACAGGCCCTATAGTGAAATGGGAGGAACGACTATAATGGTGGTGGTGGTGGTGGTTGTTGGGGGAGATGATGAGGCCCGGCGATGAACTAGGTTGCATATGTGAGCGGGGTAATGTCAGGGTTGCCGGGCGGAAGTGACTCGGTAGCGTCGGGTGTGGATACCGACATATTCCGCTGAAAGCTATTCAATCGACCGTAACATTATACTCACTGCACACTGCCATGGCGAACAATTGACCGGTCCGACCACCGAATCAGGTATTGCTTGGGACGGGCCGAGTGTACATATTGCCTTTCAGCTTCATATTGCCTTTCAGCTTTATAATCTTCTCCATTCCGCTCGAAGATAGTTTGGCTCACGATGTGACTGTGAGATGATGTAGATCTCCTCGCCGTCAAAATAAGGGATGATGGTCTGCATGTGGCTTTGATCTCACGGAGCTTTGTATGTGACTGACTCGGTTGGAAAGTTCTTGTTTCATCCCGGAAGCGCACATTAACTTTGGTAAATCTCACAATCCTGATTGTAAAACTTCGTCAAAACCGCTCGAAATTCAACTGGCGAAGATTGTGAAGACTTGGGAGGAATTCTGCGTTCTGCAGGCGCATCGAACACGCGCGCTTCCTGCAATGGTCAAAAGCTGGACATTGGAAGCCCACAGCAGTGATCAACATGCTGGCCCGAGCCTAACTAGGCCTCCACGGCGGGAGCGGGAGCGAGCAGCGGAGCTGTCCACGCCAGTGGAGGCCTAAGACAGATGCGGCAATCCCCGCGTGCTGAGTTTTCAAATTTGGGCTTAAAAGCCAGTTCTTTGTGCATTTTTCTACCTATGCTCCTCCTCTTCCACTATTATCTAATTTCCTTGTGGACCAAGGAGGGCCTGCTTCTTGTAAATGTTTCCCTCTCCTCACATTATTTTGTAATTGTGTCAATTTTGATATAGTTATTTTTGAAAATGACAACTTTTCAACAAAAGTTGAGTTTTTTTTGGTGTGCGCGAGTTCATTAAGCTGCTTATGTGAGCGTAAAAAAAGTTGAAACGTTGATTTTAGAAAATCAATATTGATTACTTTTGTGATTTTAAAATTTTGAAATTTGGCCTGATCAATAAGATCAGGCAGGTCTTGAAAAATTCGAGACCAAACATCAAAAAAGTTTTGAGGGAGCGTCATGATTTCAAATCTTGTGACGCTCCCACCAAAACACCAGAAACTCAGCACCTGAGTTTGTCGACCTCTGGCCCAAGTCTCCCCTGCGGGGAGTTCCCTTCGGGAACCGCCTGGCCAGCGCTACGCTGCCAGATGCGCCCCCCGCAGCCTGAGACTTGCGATAAGTTCGATGCTGGCCATAGGTTTAGATCCATCGTTGGATCTGTTCGATGGAGGGTGGCTACAGATTAAAGGGATCAACTAATCGGCCGATCGTTGATCAACTGGAGGACTTCCCGTCGGATCTGGGAGCCTCGCAGTTTCCGATTTAGACCCAAAAAGTCTAGATTTTTTGCAGGGAAATCTAGCTTTTTCGGCTCTAAATCAAAACTGGGAGCCCCGCAGATGTTGACGGGAAGTCATCCACTAATCAGCAAGTACCCTCAACTTCGAAAGGCCCTCAGTAAGTTTCTAAAAAAGTGCGGACTGAGACGATAGCCGAGGTGGTCGCTACTCCTCACATATGCTTTCGGGCCGCATGTTGTTTTTGCACATTTTGCGAGGCTTTGATTGATGTCTGAAGCAGCAGTGGCTACAATACCCACATACAAACACAAGAATTAGGACGCTTTTGGAATGCTTTCTTCGAAAGTATCTTGGTTCATACTTGGGCTGACCTGACTAGGTTTGTTAGGAGAGCTTTATCTTTTGACATCCGGATCTGTGCAAGTGATCTAATCTGACGGGGCCATCCAGAGAGATAGCAAATTACGGAAGAGTTCTTGGACTTGCTCGCTCCCGGGCTCTGATGCTGGGAAAAAAACTCAGGCGCTGGACAAATATCTTCCGAATGGCATTTTGCAAAGCCGGCAACTGTTTTTCGGGCTTGTCGATGCCAGAGAAGTAGCCGAGTGCGCAGCCATACATATTCGGAAATCGTGTCCGTAATCATGTCGTTGTTCCTGCTTATCTTGGCTCCTTCCAAGTTGATCAGCTCTCCTGGCACCTGGCTGATTGATTTTTCTGCGTAAATCAGCCTCCGGCTGGTCCGAGCTTGGATGCGCGTCGAAGAGCCCAACAAGCTCTTGGAGCGACTTGGCCTCGTACTTCCATGCCCTCGTCGGAGCTGCCTGCTCGTTTGTTAACACTGTTGGCAATGTGCATTTGTCAAGCATGGAGACTCTCAATCAGAACACTCATCTGGCGGATAGAAATTCCACAGTCCGAACCCTCGCCTTGCAGGACATTCGGGTTCTCGTGATCTTGAAGCATCATCATGTCGCAGTCGGCTCGTTTCCAGAAAAAAAAAGAACGAGACCGGCTCAGCGCCGGTGAGACGTCCTTGGAAATGAGGCCAAAAAAAGAACCAACTCAAACCCCTATATCTTGTCAACCCAGAAATTTATTTCTGAAAGAGCCATGACAGAGGCTCAATCACAACCCGGAACACACCGATACTCCCTTGATCATCAAACTGAAAAGTACTTACTCTCAGTGCTCTTCGCCCATAGTCCGCCCGGACTCGAGCCAAAATCGGACTTGGATGAGGACTTGATTTCTTGGATTTGTATAGAAAGATTCATGACGGATGGACCGGCGGACCGATCAATCAGTTTGAAAGATTGAAACACAATACGGAGTGCTAAGAAGGAGATTGCGAGTTGGATGTCGTATTGGGGCCACAAAAGCCAATCTAGAGATTTTTTTTTCTCTTTCGTACGCTAGGGGAAATCTAATCTAAGGGTAGAGAAATGCTGACAAACGCACTCTGTTCTTGAGCTTATAAACAACTAATACTTCATCGGCCAGGGATCATCCGCCGGTTGGTTGGTTTTAGCTTGGAAGACTTTCCGGTGAAGGATGACCAGTAGGCCAGCCAAAAAGGTGCATCTAAATAAACCAAAAATAAGGAAGGAATCCTGTGGTCTAACCACCGATAGTGTGCATGTTGCATATTCTTGGGATGGGGTGAAGATTCAGACATTGAATTCTGGTGACTAGAGACTTACCTAGAGGCTTGGATTGACATCTTCTTGCTTATTTACGTGATTCAAGCTGAGTGGAAATATCCCCTGCATCTTGGAAGCATACAGACATAGCAGAGATATTAAAGTGCAATGGGTGTAGAACTAGTGGAGGCGAAATCAATACTTCAACTTGTGAGAGTTGCAGAAGGTCGTGGACCGCATAACTCTAGCCTTGGTCAGATCGTTGTTGCTCCCCCCTTTCCAATGAATTGTATACACAGGCGCATCCGAGGGTGGGGCTACTGGAATCCTTACTCTATGCGGTTGCTAAAAAAGCTGTCGGAGTCCCAGTACAAACTGATGACACGGAGCTACACAGTCGGGAATTAGGAGCCCAAAGTCAAACGGAAAATTGGGAGAGGCCTTTGGTTTCTCTTTCTCCCCGGGTAGATCGATAAAGGATCTGTAAGATCATTTCAATTCCAAAATGTTGTACACACCCTTTCCGAGCTGGTTTTGAGGCAGGTATCAGCTGTGCTAGGATCCTCTTGATAAACAGCACTATAATTCTGGCAATGGGAATGGTCATTAGGTGACCAGTCATCGTTGGCCGGTCTCATTTAGCTGGATATTCCAAGACCGCGCTACAATCTGTATCAATCAATGGCTAGGTGGGGTAATTGGTCTACTACCAGAAGCTCTTGTGCAATCCTCCAAC